TCTCCTTGATTAATTTCCACCCATTGCTTCTTGTTCTACACTCAGGTGCTTTGGAGAATAGTTTGACTCTCTCTTCTTGGCAACCCCTAAGATATTGGTTGTCCAATCATCATATTGTTAGAATTATAGAATGACTCCATAAAAGCTTGGTGTGAAATAAGACTCCCTTTATTAAACAAAACAGAGATTTCTGCGGCCTTTCTGTCAGACACAACCATACCTTAAGCGGCTTCTGTCTCATTTTGGAGTTCATAGAATAAGGTTAAAGGTAAAGATTCCCCTCACACATATGTGCTAGTCGTTCCCGACTCTAGGGGGCGGTGCTCATCTCTGTTTCAAAGCCCAAGAGCCAGCGCTGTCCGAAGATGTCTCCGTGGTCATGTGGCCGGCGTAACTCAACACCAAAGGCGCATGGAACGCTGTTAACTTCCCACCAAAGGTGGTTCCTATTTTTCTACGTGCTTTCGAACTGCTAGGTTGGCAGAAGCTGGGACAAGTCACGGGGGCTCACTCTGTTATGCGGCACTAGGGATTCGAACTGCCAAACTGCCGATCTTTCTGATTGACAAGCTCAGCGTCTTAGCCACTGAGCCACCGTGTCCCTTAGTGAATAAGGTTATGTCACTTCAAAGACTTACATTGCTCGATCTGTGGTTTCTCATTCCTTCTCTTTCTTTACTGTTACTCAACCCTTCGGCCTTTTAGTTAAGTCTTATACATCACTTGCTATCCTCCAGCAAATGAAAGAGCAGAATATTTATTAGGCAACAATCCCTTATTCCAACCAGTAAGACGCATTCAGGACGCATTCTATGATGTCATAATCAACTAGGATTCCTAAGTGTCACTTCCTTCAAAAATAAAATGGCATCTTGCATTGCATTTATTGTCATTTTTAATCCGTGGAGTTCCTGCTAAGTTTAGAATGGTTACGAACAATCTTCACCGTAAGAAGAATGCATTGAGAAGGAATTTATTCTACAAGGCAAACCTCGACTTACAACAGTTTTTGTTCAGTGACCACTGAAAAAAGTGACTTAAACTTATAATCAGGGGGGAAAAAATTACACCTGTTTCAACAATGACACTGAAACTGAGATAAATAAAAGTCAGAATTGCTAATACACCGGTATCATATTTTTTAAAAAGATATCTGTTCTGACCGAGGCTTCCCAAGAGCATGACGCAAACTCCTGATCCTGAAAAAAACCCATCTTATTAATTTGCTATGAATTCTGCTCATTCACATCCAGCAAAGTCTTTCAAGGGAGGATTTACGGTCACAGACCTTATCTGGCTTGGANCTATCTATCTATCTATCTATCTATCTATCTATCTATCTATCTATCTATCTATCTATCTATCTATCTATCACCGAAGGAACAAATTGTTTCCTGCAAAAGCCCCCTCCAAGGTGTGGCTTTACTCCCAAGTCAACCCTGCTTTCTTAGTTGTTCTTGTCTCCTGGCAGCTCTGCGCATGCGCACACTGGGAACAGGCTCCAGCTGTTCCTCTGCCTCACTGCTGTCTAGCTCCCTCTCTGCCTCCAACACAGAGCTCTCCACAGCCCCCAGGACTGGCCCATGTTCCTCCCCAACCTCCTCACTCTCCGACTCTGCTGCCAGCTCCACTGGCCACCAGCGGGTCACAAAAGTTTCCTGGAGGCTGAAGTTTGGAAATATGCAAATCTCCCAGGTGACACACAAGTTGTGACGAGCCCAGGACATTCCCTATTGTCCGTAAAACGTACCTGCCTCGCCCCAGCCTCTCACCTGTTGGCAAAAGTAGCCAATGCCTCGGATTTTGAAGGAGCCGCTCGGCTGGACATTCTCCAACTTCATGTAGACTTTGGTTCCAGATGTTTGCGACAGGGCCACACTCTCCAGCAAAGGCGTCTCAATGTGGAAGGGTCTTTCGAAACCCCCGTCAGGCAGCGTCTCCATTTGGGGTGGGGGCAGTAGAAACTCCCTAAGTAAGATGTATTAATTCTATGAAAAACAAAATCCGGGAGATCGGGCCCAAGGTTCACCAAAACCTCTGCATTCTTTCGGATTAATGCTTAATCAATGGCGAGTGGTTTCGTTCTTCTTTTTTCTGCCATCTACTTCTAAGCTTGGGTGCAATAATATAAGATATTGCGGACAATGTATCATACAATTGTTTTATTCCTTTGCTATTGGTATATTTACATTTTCAATTCCCCCCCGTTTTATTGATGTCAGGCACCCAGAGCAAGATTGGCAGCAAATACATTTAACAAATAAAATAAAATCAATAAGGATCAAACTTCAAAACTCAAATCACTACTTCAATCTCAAAAAGGGTCTATTCGGAGTGCCAGAGTTTTTATTTGATTATAGCGATAGCACTTAGACTTATATGCCGCTTCACAGTGCTTTTACAGCCCTCTCTAAGCGGTTTACAAAGTCAGCCTCTTGCCTCCAACAATCTGGGTCCTCATTTTAGCCACCTTGGAAGGAGGGAAGGCTGAGTTAACCTGAAGGAAGGAAGAAAGGAAGGGAGGGAGGAAGGAAGGAAGGACAGATAATAGCAATAGCCCTTAGTCTTATATACCGCTTCACAGTGCTTTACAGCCCTCTCTAAGCAGTTTACAAAGTCAGCCTCTTGCCCCCAACAATCTGGGTTCTCGTTTTAGTGACCTCGGAAGGACAGAAGGCTGAGTCAATCTTGAAGCTGGTCAGGATATCCTATTGTTATCCTATTGTTTTGAACGCAGAAAAGAATTGGAAGGAAAAGGAGTGAAGAAGGGAGGAAAGGAAAGGAAAGGAGGAAGGGAGGGAGGAAGGAAGGAAAAGGAGTGAGCGAGGGAGGAAGGAATGAAGGATGGAAAGGAGGAAAGAAGGAAAGGAGGGACAGAGGGAGGGAAGAAAAGGAGGGAGGGAGGAAGAAAAGAAAAAAGGAAACATGGAAGGGAGGGAGGAAAGAAGGAAGGAAAAGGAAGGAGGGAGGGAGGAAGAAAAGGAAAAAGGAAAGGAAAGGTGGAAGAGAGGGAAGAAGGAAGGAAGGAAGGAAAAGGATGGAGGGAGGAANCCATCATAAATGAGAGTCAGTTGCCAAGCGTCTGAATTTTGATCGCATGACCATGGGGATGCTGCAATGGTCATAAGTGTGAGAAATGGCCATAAGTCCTTTTTTCAGTGCCTTGTAACTTCGAACAGTCATTGAGTGAAGCGTTGCAAACAGAGGGCCACCTGTACGTACAAGACAGAGAGTATAAACGAATTACAGTATCTTTCACGTTACGTGTTTTACAATAATATTTGACGTGCGTGCCAAAAAGAGGTCAGCAATCCAGTGGTTTCTGGTGCAGATGTGCAGGAAGACCAGGGAAACAGAGCCACTGTTTACCTGAGGAGCAGACCAGATGTCGACAGCCCTTCTTAGCCATCTGAAATTAAATTTAAAAAAAACAGATTTTTTTGGTTCGTTTTTCTCCATCATTTCCATTTGTCCTTGAAAAAACCAAGAATGGCTTTAGGAAGAGATGCCCGGCCCAAACCCAGAAGTCACTTCACTCCTTTGCTGACCATCTTCCAGAGGTCCCAGATGCCTCCCACCTCTTCCCAGCATGCAGGTGAGTCTCTCCCACTTCCTCTCGCCCCTCCCTCTCCTCTCTCCACTGGAAAAAAAAGGCACCTCCAAAAAACCAGTGACTCAGGGACACGTCTGAAAAAAGACTACATTTCTAAACACCTCCAAGTTCTGACCAGGCTTCCTTAAAAAGCAGGAAGCAAAATCTTGGTCCCGGCAAAACCTTTTTTTATTTACACGACTGTGAATTCCTTTCATTTCCCAGTCAGCAAGGCTCTAGCAAACAGTCTTTCTGAGAATGTTTATCCACACGAACCTTATCTCGCTTGGAGAGCTGCCAGATAACTAGTTTCTGAACGCAAGGCAAGGCAAAACTTGGCACTTATCTCTTATAATCAGAAACAAAATTTTCCATTCTTGAAATGACCAAAGGAATGAATTGTTTCCTGCAAAATGCCCCTCCCCATTTGCTCCTCTTTTGTTTCCTATGGGAGGGGCCATGTTGCGCCCCAAATATATATATTTTCCCCAATATCTATCTGTCTGTCTCTCTCTGTCTCTCTCCATCCCTCCTCTAATATCTCTCTCCTATAATCTCTCTTTCTCTCCTATAATCTCTCTCTCTCTCCTATAATCTCTCTCTCTCTCCGTCTGTCTGTCTCTCTGTGTCTCCCTCCCCTAATCTCGCTCTCTCCTCTAATTTCTCTCTCTCTCCTCTAATCTCTCTCTCTCCATCTATCTATCTATCTATCTGTCTGTTTCTCTGTCTCTCTGTGTCTCCCTCCCTCCCTTAATCTCTCTCCCACCTCTAATTTCTCTCTCTCTCTCCTCTAATCTCTCTCTCTCCATCTATCTATCTGTCTGTCTGTCTGTCTCTCTCTCTCTCTCTCTCTGTGTATGTGTTTCACCTTCCCACCTCTAACTCTCCTATAATTTCCCTCTCTCTCCTCTAATCTGTGTGTGTGTGTGTGTCTCCCCCTCCCCTAATCTCTCCCTCTCTTCTAATTTTTCTCTCTCCTCTTTAATCTCTCTCTCTCTCTCTCTGTCTATCTATCTATCTATCTATCTATCTATCTATCTATCTATCTATCTATCTA